CATATTGCCACATTATTAAACAAATGAGTCTGTCCTGGGCAGGCAGTGACAGTCTACAGTGACTTGTTGATATATTACAGCAATAATACAGCAATCATACAGAAATCACCTCGAGTTTTCCTGCCGGGGAATTAAATTTCTACACTGGAGGAATCAACAAAAATTAATGACAATCTTTCAGGCAAGTGAAACCACCTCAACTGCTACGACCACACCCTACATATGTTTTCCGTCTAGCAAGTGCTACTCTACCTCTCGAATCAAACCCTGCATGAGAGAGGACAGTTGGATCTGCACACAAGGCCGTGACAATAGCTCTGGGAATCTGCACCTCTGGCTAAGGCATGACACGGACATGTCATGCCTGCACGCACACATGTGAAAGCAATGACTCTATGTCCAATGCCCTTTTCCCACACTGGAACCGTAAGAGCTAGGAAAGCATCTGAACAAATTGTTTTTCTTTCCCCCACCTCCCCTTGCGTCCCTTTCCTGTTTTCCATCCCTGGGCAAACTTTGTTTTCGAGTCCCTACTTTACACCAGGTGCTGTTTTGTGGGCTCCTGTCAACACGATGCTGGGCTCCTGGAACGGATATCTTGGGAGGAGAGGCAGAGCAAGGAAAAGGCAAAAAGATTAGCACGATCCATGAGATGATGAGGACTGTCTTTAAAAGCTAATTAACATGAGTGCTACAATGGTTTCCTGGGACGGGTAGTGTCTGGGTGACATCTTTGTGCTGGGTGCTCAGGAAAGTCTTCTCTGATGAAGGAAGTGATGAGATGGCCCTAGGGGAAGGGAGAGAGGAGACTTCTGGGAAAACACGCAGGTGATGGGCATTCCACGCAGGTGGAAAGTAGGGAACTGAGGCTGGAGCTTAGCACATGTGTAAGAGAGTGACAGGATGATTTTATAACTATATTTTATGATTCAGCTTACCAATCAGTAAACATAAATGTTCACTAGATATTGATCATCAACTTTCTTTCTCAGCTATTTCAAGAAGAGTGTACACTTCGGAGTGAGAAAATCGAGGTGGTGAATCTTGGCCGAGGGCTCTGTAGCTGGGTGGTATCATCCAAAGCTAAGTTTTTCATTTTTCAAATTTGGACGTTATTTTTTCAAAATTATTGCAAATCTCCTGAAGCAGTATCTGGCACATCCTAGTCCCTCACTCTGCTGCTATTAATATTTGAACATTTGTATGTTCTCATGTTTCAAGAGTGACAGTCATTCCATCCACACATGCAGCTTCCCCGGAGCTCACCAGGCTGTGGTTGCTCATCTGCTAGTTGATGGAGACCGTGAAAAAGAAAAAGGGGGCCCTGGCTGGTGTAGCTCAGTGGATTGAGCGTGGGCCTATGAACCAGAGGATCACAGTTCGATTCCCAGTCAGGGCACATGCCTGGGTTGTAGGCCAGTTCCCAGCAGGGGACGCACAAGAGGTAACCATACATTGATATTTCTCTCCTTCTCTCCTTCCCTTCCCCTCTAAAGATAAATAAATTTTAAAAAATTATTAAAAGAAAAAGGGGTGCTTGCGATTCCTGCTTTAGCAGGTTGGACAAGGGTCAGGGCACAGGGGAGCCCTGTCTAAGGTATCAATGATCAGGATTTGGGACCCTGGCAACCGGAAGATGGGACAATCCAAGCTAATACTGGAGTCTTCCAGGCCTCCTGGAGATTTCCCTCACTGATATATGTGTTTTGTAGGAAGAGGAGTAACATGGAGACAATCCCTGATTACTGGGAGAGCATAGGCTTCAGAATTACCCAGTCACATTTGGCACTGAAGAATTCTCTCACTGGCTCTGTGTTCTTCCTCTCAAAATGCAGGCAGAGTGGAGAGAGTGAGAAGCAGGTAAATGCAGAGATGTGCCACCATTAAGAACAATGCTAAGCTGTGCACCCGGAGAGAACAAGGAGCAAAGGGAAGAGGCAAGGCAGAAAATGACAGAGGAACTAAAAGGACAGCTAGATCAGGAGTGGAAACATAGAAATGAAGATCTCAAGGAGGGTTAGCAACAGGGGAATGGGAGGAGGAGAAGGGGGGAGAAGGTACAGAAAATAAGTAGCATAGACAGTAGATAGAAAATAGATGGGGGGGCAAGAATAGCATGGGAAATACAGAATCTAAAGGACTTGAGACACATGGTCATAAACTAAAGGGAGGGTAATGGTGGGCATGGGGGGGGTAGGGTGGAGGGGAATGAAGGGGGAATAGAACAACTGTAACAGCATAATCAATAAAAAAATTTAAAAAAATAACTAAGGGGGGTGGAAATGGGAGGGAGGTGGGGTACATGGGGGAGGGGTGGGCTGGGATGGGAGAAATAAACAGAAAACTGTACTTGAAAAATAACTAAATAAAAATTTTAAAAATCTCAACAAAAAAAAAAAAAAGAAAGAAAATGACAGAGGACATTGCCACTGACAAAGCAGACCTGCCTCTGCACAGGCGTCCACTGCCAGGTGTGCATCCTTGCTTCGCCACTCAGGCCAGCACTGTTTGTAGGATGCCAGAAAGCACCAGAATGTCCCTGTCACTTGTCTTCACTATCGAAAAATTCATCCCTCTCCACATGGCCTTCTGCTCTACTACTTACCTGTGCCTTTCTGGGGGAATTTGTGAATAGAACATGATATTCAATGTTTCACTTTTTTTTTTACTGTATCCTCCTTTCACTGTCGATGAAATAGAAGTGGTTTTGCTCATGCAGCTAGACATGGTAAGAAAATAGGGCAGGTTTTGTTCACTTCTTCTACCTGCAGACAGATGTCGAAGAGGGGCCTTAAGAATGCCACTCAGGGAGGTATGAAACCATAATGGACAGAACCAAGTTTAACATTCTTTCTAAAAATCCATTGTCATGTTACAGCAGAATGAAAGCTTTCACACGCACAGAGAGGGCAAGTGTCTATGAAATAGGATATTAAAAGAGCACAGTGGAAAAAGGAAACCAAAATTTAAAAAACGGAAAGAGGAAATATATTTGAACAGCAGGAAGTGACTCGGGAAAAAGAGCATAAAAGCACAGTGCAGAAAGACAGACGGGAGAACTGAAAGTCAAGTAATGACAAAAATAAAAAATATATATTTTCCAACTTTCTGTCTCCAGAAAGTGAGCAAAATATGTAAAGGTGAGCAAAAGTTTCTTCCAATTGTAAATTTGTTTCAGTGCCCAAATATCACTAGATTTTAACAATGGCAGGATAGCATTTCTTAGGTTCCATTATTTCTTTAATTTTTTTAGATTTCTCAGTGTGCAACTTTCCACGCAGACAACGATTTTAGTGCATCATGAACGCAGAGGCCTCCAGGTGGCTTGGCCTGTTCGGGCCCTTTGTGTCATTTGTATCCTATTGGCTAAGCTGGCTTTTACTTAGTTCTTCATTTTTTTCTTTGTAATTGTTATCTGGACACATTGGAAGTGAAATAATGAAGATGGCCACGAAGGTGAAAAATAAGGGCACACTGCTTTTTTCCCATGTAAAACGTGACGTGGTCTCCCCTCCAACGTTGTGAATCTCAGCACCTGACACTCAACAGCTAGGGTTTTTTTTAACTGCCTTGCTTCTGAGTCTTTTGCTGATACATAAACATGAAAGCAGATGATCACAATACAAATAAAACTGCTAAGTTTTAACCTGGAACGTTTAAAAGGTAAACTTCACAGCACTGTCTTAACAAACATTATATAAGGGCCAGAGTATAAACCTGATGTTTCCCTATTTTCCAGTCCGCACGTGCTATCAATGTGGGGATAGAACTATCCAGTTTGGCAAAGTGATTGCATACGGAGAAGCCCGGAGGAACCGGGAACCCAGTGAAGGTTCCGGCGTTCGAGCAGGTCTGGAGGAGCCGGTGGGGTTTTGAAGACAGAGATATAGCGTGCAGACTATTTATCGTATTCCCCCGTTACAACACTTCAGGTTCAGTTACTCATCCTATTCTAACTAATAGCACCTTTTTGCTGATCTCTTCTTGTAGCTCCAGCTTTCTGCAGAAACTCCCACTGCATGACCTCACTAAGAATGAATCCCATCAACTTCATTGTCTTGTGGATAAACCAAATAGTTTTCCAAATCACGTTGCTGGTACTATTCAGCTTGCTCATTCTTTCTTCCCTTCCCTGAAATGGGGAGCAAAGGAACAGGGGGGCTTTGCTCATTTTCAGTCTCTCCTCAGCCCTCCATGAGTACCTGCAGCCCCTGGTGTACCCGAATTTCTTTATAAGTGGTCTGATCACCAAGTCTCATACTGTATCACTTCATCAGCAAGTGGGTCCCTCCAGGCACACTAGGGGGTTCCGAAGGGCATGGACTGTGTTAAGGGTTCCCCATACCCTTGGATGGGATGCATTCGCTGTCTGTGTAGAGCGCGATCTGTTCTTGGTGCAAATGGAACCAGGGCTCCTGTATCCCCAGCAAGGTTGCAGGGGAGACAGACGTTGATGCTCAAAAACCAGCTCTCGGGTTCACGTCCTTGCTCTGGGTGGACCACTTCTGGGGGCATCCTCAGGGCTGGGGCGTGGCACCTGCGAGCCCACGTGCCAGGAGGCACAGCAAGGGTCCTGCACCAGTATCTGGTCCTCGACGTCTCAGGGAGCATCCCTGGTCCTTCACATGTTTCCCTTCTGCGGCTGGAGGAGTGCCTTCCTTCTTTTCCAGGATCAGGGAAACACCTCCCATTCTTGCAGATGGCAAGAAAAAAATAAAAGGGACTTTCCTGGGGCTGGAGCGGGGATTCCCTCTACAGGGACAGTGCGTGTTGCAGCCCGCCTACCTAGCTGAAGGCGTGCAAAGCCCAAACGCTTGGGAGCACCTGGACACTCCAAGCGTCCTGTGTCCCCTGCTCCGGGTCTGGAGCCCACAAATCCGCTAATTAAGCGCACCCTTATTGGTCATCCCCAAGGCCCCTCCAGGCGTCACCATGTTATGCAAATGAGGGGGCATCTCATTGCTCCGAAGGTGCACGCAGGGAGCCTGGGTGGCTTTGGGGACCGAGGCCCAGGGTCCCGCGCCCGGTGCACCTGCTGCCTTTCGGGGAAGCGCTCCAGCCTCACGCGGCGCACACTCCCACCAAATCCGCTCTTTCCAGGCACCGCGCCCCCCACCCCCAAGTTACTTTTGCATTCCCGGCTCCCCCGAGTCCTGGGGAACCAGAGGCGGTGCTGAGCCCGGGGGCGGTTCCTTGGCAGAGGAGATTCTGGTCGGAGCCAGACTTTTGCTCCTGGGCTGGGTTTGCATCATCCCCATCACACTCGGGAGGGCCAGAGGAGCCAGCCCCCTGCGGCCGGGGCTTCCGGCTCCAAGCGGACCCTCCCCCTCCGGGCCCCTTCCCCCTGCTGTCCCTCTCCAGGCCACGAGTCTCAGTCGTCCCCTCCCCTTCTCCACAACATTCGCTGTCTGCCTCCCTCTTCTCCTCCGTTGGTCTGTGTCCCCTACTCTTGGAGGAGGGATGGTTGATTTGGAGAGCGAAGTCCCCCCTCTGCCTCCCAGGTACAGGTTTCGGGATTTGCTGCTAGGGGACCAAGGATGGCAGAATGACGACAGGTGAGTGATGTGGGGCAGGGTGGTTCCCTCAGCATCAGCTGGAGGAGAGACAGGTGGGGAACCTGAGGGGGAGGGTGGGAGGGGAGGCCACGGGAGCCGGGGATGGGGAGCTAGCAAAAGGGACTCTGGTCTGTCTCTCCATTTTGACTCCATGGAAACATTGTCACAGACAAGGAACTCCTTCCCTTTCCACCTTCCTGTCCCTGCAACGGGTTTATTGCCTTTATGTGACGCTGATTCTTGTCTGAGTGTGTTTCCCTAGGGTGTGTATGAGGCTGGTATCCCAGGCAGAGAAATCCAAATGGCTCGCAGTATTGGTGTCGGGTTTCCTTTCCCCCCCAGGTGTTGGTGATCGCGTTCGCAGATGTGTTCAGGTTGCCCGGGGGAGCGCAGTAGAAACTTAAATCTCCTGCACCCATGTAGTTAGTCAGCGTTGTCCTGAGCAGGGGTGACCTGCCACCAGGTATTTTATGCTTTGTAAGCGTGTAGAGTTGCAGGTGGACAGTCAATTTAAATAAGTAACAGGTGGTTCCTGAACATGACAGCCTTTGGCATTGAAAAGGCTCACTTTGACGGGGCAGCTGTGACTATTATTAGTGACTGTGATCATGGTGTTTATAGAGAATGGTTGGTCCTTCTCACAATTGCAATATTTTTAACCAAAATAGCATATATGTCACAAAATTAAGATAAGTGTCAAAACTGGAATGTTCATTCTTAGCAATATATTGCTCATGTGATTTCTCTACAGCATCACTGCGTTGCCTGAACTTCTGAAATTCCTCCGGCTAGCTCGGTCTCATGACCAAAAAAGCACATTTTCTGCTTCATTGAATTTGGTATCTTCTGGGATGGTCATTTTATGTAGCACCTGCCACATTTCTTTGTTTTGAAATAATAAGCGAATTAGGCTCTCCATTCAGTTGAACTCTTTCCTTGAAGTTCATTTTGATAATTGACGTTGTATTTTAATTACAGAAGAGATCCATTATTGGTCTGATTCAAAAGCCTCTTCACTTACCCCTGGGAGGTCCCTTTCTTCTTTTCCTCATCGTCTCAGCTCCAATACCAACTCCTGTCCCTGCACACAGGGGACTGTATCTTGTGCACCAATGACTGATTCTTGTTTGGTCTCCTATCAATAGTTTCAAGGGATACAGGTGTTTTGCAGAGGATAAGAGTTCAACTCTAGCTCTTCTTTTTAGGCAAAGACATACATATGTGTGTGTTGGTTTAGGATTAAAAGAATGGATACCAATTTATCAGGAGGCTTGAGACATAATGTGTGCTGGTTGAAAGAAGAAAGGAAAGAAAAGCATACTTAAGCACAGGTGTTGCTAGTGGACAGGGAGATGTATTGTATCATCCTGGTTAAATGGCTTTTCAGGTGCAGTGCTCAAAGGGATTGCCTCTGTCTTTGTTACCTGAGGACCTGAGGTTCATCATGTAGAACAGAAATCCTCTCTTCTGTGTAGAAAGTTGGGGGGGGGGCACTCAGTGCATACAGAGGACTTGGTGGTGGAAGTGTTGTTTGCTTTTTAATGTTGTAGGCAAGATATTATTATTCATGTGGTTGCTGTCAACTTTCTGAGGACACTGCAGATGTGTGTCAGTAACTAAGAATTGTGGTCAGCTGAATGCTACCTACAAGAGTCGCTGCTATTTTGACAAAAAAAGTTTTGTACATTTATTCATAATATCTATTATAATAAAGAGTATGTTAGCCCAAGTTTATCTTAAAGATTGGCCATGTTTACTGTTAAAAAGGAGGAGTTAAACATTTAAGTTGCTCATCTATTCATAAAGACTAGACTAATTTTGTGGCTTTATGAAAATTTAATATTCAGTTTTGGTCCATTTGTTGTCCATCTTTGAAGACAAGAGACTTTGATGGGTAAAGACCCAGGGCCTTTGTTTATTTCTTCACTCACTGAGTGACTTTGGGCAAGTCATTCAGTCATAATAGATTCAGTAATCATAGTTCGGGAAGGTTCAAGGCTATCAGTTAATTAGCACTAAGTACTGGCTGGTGCTATGTGTTAATTATGCTATGTGTTATATATTTGTATGTATATTTGTATCTATATCCACACACATTTGTAGATATGTGTATTCATGTAAATATATGTATGTTAACTTATGCTATATGTTATCTCAGTCAGTCTTTAACACTCTCTGAATAATGGATAGTTATTTTAAGGAGGAGGACATAAAGTTTCCCAGGAATCAAATACTTCTCTTTGTAACATATCTTATAAATGTAAAAATGATGCTTGGGTTCAGTTCTTTGCCACTCAAATTCCTCAAGAAGCTCTGAAGTCCTTCCAGTGAATGAATTAGAATTGATAAGAATCACTTTTCGGTATTGAGCATGGTTTAGTTGCTCATTAAATGTTGACTCCCTTCTTCTGAGTTGCAGTTTGCAATTCTCTTTTTGTTTTCTCCAGAATCCAAAATTGATAGGCAGTAAGTGAAGCCGTCTCTTTTGTCTGTACTGTGGACACAGTGCCTCTTTGCACTGAAGTCTGAGGGGTCACGTGAGTCTGCTCCACTCTCTTCATGGCCTCCATCCCTAGAGTCAAGGAGGGAGCCCCCATTCCTGGAGGGGGACAGGGAGACTGTGTCTACCCACAGGTACCTGGGGTGCTCTGCCCATATTCTCTAGGCTGTTTTCTAGATACCCTCTGCCCGAGGTTTTTGTTTCTGTCTTTGTTCTTCTTCCCCTTGGCCTTGGGGTGCAGCACAGCACCACCCAGCAAGCAGGATTATGATGGGAGCTTCCTTTCCCCTGGGCTGGTACAACCCGGAGGCGCCTTCTGCACATGCGGGGCTGAGCTCCACCTGCCCACAGTGGTAACTGGCTGATACTGTAGACTTTCTTGGCTTCCTTTCCATCATTCCCCTATTGGTGTTTTCTGGATCATTTCCCAAATACACTTACTCACCTATCCTTGCAAGATCTGCTCCTGGGGGAATCTGAACCCAGGTGGGGTGGTCTCCAGAATCACATCCTAGAGATGATGGTGGAAGAGATGCCTGGGAAGCAGACCACTCTACCTTGCTTTCCATGTTAAGGATTTTCCAGTCAGTCTCAGTAGGGCATGGGTGACTGGTATGGGAAATGGGGGAGGGCTTTGAGTGATGTGGGAGAGGTGCTGTTAAAGAGCAAACCACGGTGGCTTCTCAGGACACAGAAGTGTGTACTCCACACCCAAGACCCTTTGTGAACTAACCTTGCATCGATAGTTCGCTGAAGTTTCATTTGCACCACCTCTTGGTAAGGAAACACACGTACATAATGTACAGGTAAGGGTATAGTTATGTGGTGAATAATAGCATTTTGGTCAACTACAGTCCATGCACCTACAGTGGTCCCATGAGATTATAATGGAGAGGAAGAATCCTTTCACCCAGGGATGCTGTAGTGACGCTGTAGCCATCAGAATGCCCCAGCACAGTGTGTGTCTCTTGTGTTTGGGGGGACACTGGTGTAAATGCACCCACTGTGCTACCCTGAGGGAAAGTGCAGCACATTTGCAAACAGGTACAGCTCATGATGCTTGATAATGGCAATAAATGACTGTTACTGGCGCGTGTATTTGCTACCCTATACTTTTGATCGTTATTTTGGGGGGTCCTCTTTCTACTGAAATCATAGGCTGTGAAGGTCTGCTGGGGTCTGCCAGCAGTGGCCTCCTGTATATCAGGAGTGCCAAGTCCCAACAGGGCATCAGTTTCCCTGGGGCGTGGTTCAGTCTCATGTTGTTTGTGCAGGGACCTGCTGCACAGGTGTGTAGCCCAGGATCACCAGGCGGTGCCGTACAGCCTAGGTGTGCAGTAGGCCAGACCCTCTAGGTTTGTGTAAGTGCACTCTGTGATGTTCACATGAGAAAATGACCTAATGACACATTCCTCAGAATGTATAGCCTTTGTGAAGTAGGCGTGGCTATATATAATGTACATGTAATGAACCTATACTCTATGAAATACAGCACACATATGTAATATGTGCACAAGGTATATGTCGGTGCCATTCTTACTGAATTACCTCCCCTTCATGTGCTTCTGATATCTGTTTCTGTGTAGGACATGGGAACAGACATAGTGTGCAGGTAACTTAGCGCATGGATGATGCTAGTTCAGGGACCTATGGAATAAACTTGAGAGTTGCTAAATGACAACAATGCTTATGCCTTAGAGATAATGCATATGTCTGCTGTATATATGATGCACATTTATTTCTTCGGTATCCTTAATAAAACACACAAATCTAATTCAAATGGTTTGCACAGTATTTCCTTAGTGGTCATTTATCCCTTCAGCTAATATCTGAGTGTATGCGGCACTGCAGGGCCTTACTGAGTTAGGTTCTGGGAAACCATGTAAGAAAGACTATGAGACAGTGTCTGCTCAGGAGGTGTTCACACCTCCTGATAATTACAGGGGCACTTCCCCCTAGAATATTGATGGTATTTTGTTACAGGGATGGCTTGCAACATTTCCATTTTAAAACTGTCCAAAAGATCATGCGCTATTGTAAATTGGATAATGAGTATTTGCTTGAAATACATTAGCAATGGGTCAAAGTGTTTGGTATATTTTGAATGTAACGTTTAAAACAGTTGGTCCCTCCAAAGATGCTCCCTGTTTGGCGCTGACTGACCAGAAGCTGAACAGAACGGGTTGTCTGAGGAAGCCGTACTACAATCCATAGAATCGCTGCTGTGTTGGAATCCCACGAGCCTGCGCTCTGGGTGCCCACACGGTGACAGCTGTCTGGTCTCTTTTAATCTTTCTAAGATTCATAAAACCATAAAGGTTTAGAACATTCTCCTGAAGTCAAACATGGCAACTGCCAGGTTTGAAATGCCCTCAGACGGTTAGAGCAACGCCTTCCACGACTGCCAAGGAGCCTTAGACATTTTAAAATTTGGGACACAATGTGCTTGATGTGGCTGAATTATCACAATGGTGGATAAAGCTGTTAATGGACAGTTCTT